TTGCTTTGAAAAAATGTTGTTAATTGCAAGAGATACCCTCAAGCATCAGATCACAGAGACTATTTCATCACTCAGAAAAACTTAAAGCTCACCTGTTTCCAATTTCATGTCAATATGTCCTGTTTTCATTATCTTGTGTTGCTTTAGCGCCATGATCTAGATGGAATGGCGCTCTTATTACTACTATTACTGTAATAGGGCGACAGGTTTTGCGAACTCCGTCCAAAATAGGGCGATACACCTTATTGAGGCGACAAAATAACTGTCGCCTTATGAAAAGATAAATACTAAATTTCGTGGAAAAAACATAAGGAAACTTGGGTTAGGTGACAGTTTAGGTTTGTGCACAAGTCTATGGGAAAGTCACCCCTATGGGGCGAAGAAAAGAGTATTATATTATTATAAAAGACGTTTAGCTTGTGAAAATCGATAGATGTGTTCAATTTGTTCGTTTATTCACACTCCCTTCGCAACCAAATAGTATTCATTTAAAAAAAAAATATTTATCAATATCCCAAATCAATGATTAATATTTAAATAAAACGGAAAAACGTGCAGCAAATAAGGGCTAAAACACTTCACATAAAAGTACATTAAAAAAAACGAATACTCAAAAAAGAGAATACTCAAAAAAAGAAAGCGAAGTCATACACCACGATGTCTGCGCCATACACCATATTAGAGAACAAACAAACATTTATTTCATTATCCATTTTCTTATATTTTACCACGTCAACAATATTTTGTAGTGTAAAGGTCACGTGACCAGAAGACCGGAACTAATTACGCGTGACCCTGGATATACATGTAGGTGAGAGAAGGGACAAAGCGAAGGACGCTGTAAGGAACGATAAAGGCTACGGGGTTAGTGTTTGTATAGTGATATTGCAGAATCATGCACACGCCTACGAATCCATTGTCAGCATAAACACAGGGGCCGGGTGGGTATAATTGAGTGGATACCGTGAGACAGTGCAGTTCTCGCGAAGCAGCTCTGCTGAATTGAAAGCATCGCCGATAACTTGGGGACTGAGACCAAATATCCTTGTAAAATCATGGCACCGATTGATCTGGACGGCATCTGGAAAAACGTCAAGAACGAGAATCTGGACAATTTCCTCAAGGCACTGAATCTCAACTTCGCGGTGCGAAAAATGGCGGCGACACAAAGTCCGGTCTTGGAGATCAGTCAGAAGGGAGACGTCTTCAAAATCATCACCAAGGGCCTCAAGACGTCGAGACCAACTTCACCGTGGGGCAGGAGTATACTGACAGGAACCCGCTGAACGACAAAGAGCCGAGTACGTACCTGCCGATGTGGGACGGAGACAAGCTACGCACGGGAGAACAAGAGCCATCCAGATGCGATTCACTTTGTCCGGAGTTGATCGACGGTCAAATGGTCCAAACACAGACCGTTGGAACAGGAGACAAAGCTGTGGTCTGCAAGAGGATCTTTGCCAAGAAGTAGACGTGGTGCATGAAGACAAACATATACAGACGGTATGAATGATGCGGTACAAACATCTCACGTAGAACTAGAGCCACCGGTGGACATGCCAGTAACTTTTTACTGATCATTGGAACAAAACACATACTGAAATTTGTATCCTTGTGGAGATATTTCTTTGTTCTCATGTACTAAAGTTTTCGAGTTTGAAAGTACAGTTTCAAAATGCTCTTATTTTAACCAGAATTAATTTCCTTGGCTGAAATTCGGACTTAATATCCCTTTTCTAAAACTCTACTATTTGCGACGGATCAACATACCTTGGAAATTCCTAGTTTTTGAGTAAAATCCATATGTCTATTTCGTGAAAACCTTGTGGAGACGTATTCATCTATAGAAATTACCCTGTGGAGACGTATACCATCTTGTGTTCCCTATTGTGTGCATGATGTCTCCAGAGGGCACGGTGTATCAGATCTCTTTTTGTATAGGGGTTTATGCCAATATCTGTTTACACCATTTGACAACGGACCTCATATGATTATATTATGTACACTTTGATTCACTTCATATCACGCCTGGTAATTAATGGAGACCTACTGACTTGTTCAAAATCAGTCAAGCGTTGCGGTGCGTAAAATGGCGATATCACAAACTCCGGTCCTGGAGATCAGTATCATCACCAAGGGTCTCAAGACGTTCGAGATCAACTTCTGGTAATTAATGGAGACCTACTTGACTTGTCCAAAATCAGTCACACGTACTGGTAATTACTACTTAAACTAAAAACAAAATAAACACCTATACATTTCCAAATCCAGCCCATGCAAATATACCGTCGACCCAACTTGCAGTTGGTATTTGCAATGTTGTGTCTTGAACCGAAGATGATATTAAAGCCTTGATGTTTCATAATTATACTCAACATTCGATCCATGTCCAGCATTCATACATATGTCTCAATCAAGTCTACATTTAGTTGTACTTTTAAGATCTTTTATTTACATTAAACATTTGATATTTAATCAAAACGCGACATTGCGTTTAAATTGCATAGCGCATCATGCAAATTCTCAGCTCAGGTTCTTGGAAATTTACTTTGTATTCAGCACGTCTAAATATATAGCATTCGCAATTTTGTATATGGTATACAAAGTTTACAATTTTACAAAATTTTCCAAAATCATAGAATTTGTGTATAATTGGCAATCGGATTGATTTAAGTGCCCAAAGTGCCAGACACGATGAAAACGTGTAGAAATGCTATAAACAAAAGTCTTAAAAAAAACTTATGAAGACAAAGGCGGTTTGGGCAAGTTGCCGAAACAGCCAATAAAAACCTAGTAATGGTGACTGACTCACTTTGAAGGTACTGACACATTTAAATAAGGCAAAACAAAATTCCTTGAGCCCCTTCAATGAAAATGAAATTACTCAACCCCCCCCCCCACACACAGCCACTTAGTTTCCAAATACAATTACCTAAGATGTATTTTCTCGTACAAACTGAAAATATTATACAACCACCTTTGTTTCCAATGACAACCAATATTGTTAGGTCGCAGCCCCTTTGCTTGGTCCGGACAACGATGGCGGGGGGGGGGGGGGGGGGAGCACAGTACCTGCTAGGGAATACATCACAAGAAAAAAAAGACGACAGCATATTTTGATGCTTATGGCTTTTACCGAGGGGGTGGGGGATTCCCCACCCCCCCCCCCCCCCCCACAAGCGATTGGCCTGGTTGGTAGAGCACCGGAACGCAAGTAATCCGGAGGTCGCATGCTCAAACCCCGCTAAAGTCAATTTGTTTGTTCAACTTTCAAATTAATAAAGTAGTTGCTTTGAAAAAATGTTGTTAATTGCAAGATGATAAGAGACGTTTAGCTTGTGAAAATCGATAGACGTGCTTCAATTTGTTCGTTTATTCACACTCCCTTCACAACCCAAATAGTATTCATTTAAAAAAAACCCTATTTATCAATATCCCAAATCAATGATTAATATTTAAATAAAAAGGAAAAAACGTGCAGCAAATAAGGGCTAAAACACTTCACATAAAAGTACATTAAAAAAAAAAAAGAATACTCAAAAAGAGAATACTCAAAAAAGAAAGCGAAGTCATACACCACGATGTCTGCGCCATACACCGTATTAGAGAACAAACAAACATTTATTTCATTATCCATTTTCTTATATTTACCACGTCAACAATATTTTGTAGTGTAAAGGTCACGTGACCAGAAGACCGGAACTAATTACGCGTGACCCTGGATATACATGTAGGTGAGAGAAGGACAAAGCGAAGGTCGCTGTAAGGAACGATAAAGGTTACGGGGTTAGTGTTTGTATAGTGATATTGCAGAATCATGCACACGCCTATGAACCCATTGTCAGCATAAACACAGAGGGTGGGTATTATTGAGTGGATACCGTGAGACAGTGCAGTTCTCGCGAAGCAGCTCTGCTGAATTGAAAGCATCGCCGATAACTTGGGACTGAGACAAATATCCTGTAAAATCATGGCACCGATTGATCTGGACGGCATCTGGAAAAACGTCAAGAACGAGAATCTGGACAATTCCTCAAGGCACTGAATCTCAACTTCGCGGTGCGAAAAATGGCGGCGACACAAAGTCCGGTCTTGGAGATCAGTCAGAAAGGGAGACGTCTTCAAAATCATCACCAAGGGCCTCAAGACGTTCGAGACCAACTTCACCGTGGGGCAGGAGTATACTGACAGGAACCCGCTGAACGACAAAGAGCCGAGTACGTACCTGCCGATGTGGGACGGAGACAAGCTACGCACGGAGAAACAAGAGCCATCCAGATTCGATTCACTTGTCCGTGAGTTGATCGACGGTCAAATGGTCCAAACACAGACCGTTGGAACAGGAGACAAAGCTGTGGTCTGCAAGAGGATCTTTGCCAAGAAGTAGACGTGGTTGCATGAAGACACAACATATACAGACGGTATGAATGATGCGGTACAAACATCTCACGTAGAACTAGAGCCACCGGTGGACATGCCAGTAACTTTTACTGATCATTGGAACAAACACATACTGAAATTTGTATCCTTGTGGAGATATTTCTTTGTTCTCATGTACTAAAGTTTTCGAGTTTGAAAGTACAGTTTCAAAATGCTCTTATTTTAATCAGAATTAATTTCCTTGGCTGAAATTCGGACTTAATATCCCTTTTCTAAAACTCTACTATTTGCGACGGATCAACATACCTTGGAAATTCCTAGTTTTTGAGTAAAAATCCATATGTCTATTTCGTGAAAACCTTGTGGAGACGTATTCATCTAAGAAATACCCTGTGGAGACGTATACCATCTTTTGTTCCCTATTGTGTGCATGTCTCCAGAGGACACGGTGTATCAGATCTCTTTTTGTATAGGGGTTTATGCCAATATCTGTTTACACCATTTGACAACGGACCTCATATGATTATATTATGTACACTTTGATTCACTTCATATCACGCCTGGTAATTAATGGAGACCTACTTGACTTGTTCAAAATCAGTCAAGCGTTGCGGTGCGTAAAATGGCGATATCACAAACTCCGGTCCTGGAGATCAGTATCATCACCAAGGGTCTCAAGACGTTCGAGATCAACTTCTGGTAATTAATGGAGACCTACTTGACTTGTTCAAAATCAGTCACACGTACTGGTAATTACTACTTAAACTAAAAAACAAAATAAACACCTATACATTTCCAAATCTAGCCCATGCAAATATACCGTCGACCCAACTTGCAGTTGGTATTTGCAATGTTGTGTCTTGAACCGAAGATGATATTAAAGCCTTTGATGTCCTATAGACTCAACAATCGATTCATGTCCAGCATTCATACACATGTCTCAATCAAGTCTCACATTTAGTTGTACTTTTAAGATCTTTTATTTACATTAAACATTTGATATTTAATCAAAACGCGACATTGCGTTTAAATTAGCATAGCGCATCATGCAGTTTCTCAGCCCAGGTCATGGAAATTTACTTTGTATTCAGCACGTCTAAATATTTATCAATTTTACAAAAATTTTACAAAATTATACAATTTTGTATATGGCAATCGGATTGATTTAAGTGCCCAAAGTGCCGGCCACGATGAAAAACGTGTATAAATGCTATGGACAAAATTCTGAAAAAAACTTACAAAGACAAAGGCTGTTTGGGCAAGTTGCCGAAACAGCCAATAAAAACCTAGTAATGGTGACTGAATCACTTTGAAGGCAATGACACATTTAATAAGGCAAAACAAATTCCTTGAGCCCCTTCAATGAAAATGAAATTACTCAACCCCCCCCCCCCCCAGCCACTTAGTTTCCAAATGCAATTACCTAAGATGTATTTTCTCGTACAAACTGAAAATATTCTACAACCACCTTTGTTTCCAATGACAACCAATATTGTTAGGTCGCAGCCCCTTGCTTGGTCCGGGCAACGGTGGCCAATAAAAACTAGTAATGGTGACTGACTCACTTTGAAGGTATTGACACATTAAATAAGGCAAAACCAATTCCGTGAGCCCCTTCAATGAAAATGAAATAACTCCCACCACAGCCACTAATTTGAAAAAATTCTAAATTCATGTGAAAGACAAGGTAATAACCATTTCTCAATAGTTATACTTTATTTGCCAATTGGTGAACTTGCCGTCCAGATCATTGGACTCACCCTGAATGCGGACAAAGATTGCAGATTTCGTGTTTGTTTAATGATATCGCCAGAGTTCTGCACACACCTCTGAATCTACAATCAATAATGAACACAGAGGGTGGGTATAAATTGAGTCGATATACCATGATAGAGTGCACGTCACGAATCAGCTGTATTGAAAGCATCACAGAATAAACCGGGCCGAGACAAATATCTGCAAAATCACGGCACCGATTGATCTGAGCGGAATCTGGAAAAAACGTCAAGAACGAGAATTTGGAGAACGTTCTCAAGGCGCTGAATGTCAACGTTGCGGTGCGTAAGATGGCGATATCACAAACTCCGGTCCTGGAGATCAGTCAGGACGGAGACGTCTTCAAAATCATCACCAAGGGCTTCAAGACGTTCGACACCAACTTCACCGTAGGGCAGGAGTATACTGATGTAAACCCGCTGAACGATGAGCCGAGTACGTACCTGCCGATGTGGGACGGAGACAAGCTGCGCACGGAGAACAGCAAGAGTCACCCAGAGGCAATTTGTGTTGTCCGCGAGTTGGTCGACGGACAGCTGGTCCAGACAAAGACTCATGGAACCGGAGACAAAGCTGTGGTCTGCAAGAGGATCTATGACAAGAAGTAGGTGTTGGAGACAGACACTACGGATGGGCATCAATGATGCGGTACAAAACATCTACAGCCATCGGTGGACATGCCAGTGACATTTTACTGACCATTGGAACAAACAAAGTCCTTATCAAAAGACTGGAACTGCATGCACTCTTCCTGTATAGAGTTAGGCCAATACCATTTGGACGGACTTTTAGAATTATATTACGTATATTTGTATTAACATCTTTCTGTGCGATACTCCTAATGCATCGACATAATATACGCCTTGGTTGTAACGAATTGAGCTCTACTGATTGGTTCAAAATCAGTCACACGTACAGGTTATTACATGTACTCCTAAACGAAAATAAGATCCAAAATCTAGCCCATACAAAATATACCGTCGAGCCAAATTGCAGTTGGTATTTGCAAAAATGTGTCTTGAACCTAAGATGATATTGGAGCCTTTGATGTCTCATAGACTCAACAGCAGTGTTGTAGCGAGACCGGATAGTCCGAGACCGAGACCAAGACAGAGACCTGAAGTTGCGAGACCGAGACCAAGACCGAGACCAGCCCCTTCAAGGCGGACCGAGACCGAGACCGAAATGGTCCGAGACCGAGACCGAGACCGAGACCGCGGATAATAAATAACAATAATCTAAATAAACAACAAGACACTAATTACAGCTGAACAGTCTGTCCTTGAGATGTTGATGTTCATGGGGATGTGAAGGAAGTGATTGGAAGTTAGGAATCACTTGTACTGCTTAATTGTGTCATGCGAGTGCTCTTCGTGTTTGCTTCATGCCATAAATTACAACATGGCAACAGAATTTGTTATTGTCACAATCAATTACAAAAAATGGAAACAACCTAATTTAAAGAAGGGGAAAAACTTATTTGATGAACTCCATATATTTTTGCCACTTTTAAATTTTTTTTTTTTAAATATTGTTTGACTACTATAAAGTGTAAATCTGATGAAGAAACTCTAACTTCGGAGTACGACAATTTGTACTAGTTTTTACAAAACTTGAACATGTTGAAACTTGACAAAAGTAAAAAGTTAAAGGTGGATATTTCATCTGTTATAGGAACTCGGACCCTTAACTCCACAGCCACCCCTTGGTTCAGCAATGACCACTAACAGATATTTAAGTGCAACTTTGATTTTACATTGGACCTCCTTGTAAACCTGATTCGAAAAAAAATTTGGAGCAAGAAAATATTGATTCATTTTTTAAAATGTCAGTCATGGAATATAGATTTGTACATGTAGTCCAAAAACATTGAGAGATGGTAGCCAGATATGGATTGGTCTGCCCCCCCCCCATACCTCTTTGTGATTCTCCTTCCAACCCTGCATGTTTGTGTGTCCCCTACATGTTTGTTTCTTGTTCCTCTGTCATTTACCTCTGAAGAAAATGTTTATATAATAAATTTGACGTTGACACTGACACTCTAATTCCCATTAATTGTAGACATATCGAATCTGTTAAATTTGTCCATCATCGGGCTCGTTCCAATGCTGCCCATCATTCTCTTTTTCACAGATTCCCTAGATTATGGGATGAACTACCGGCCTGCATTAAAGACACAATTATCCATAGTTTATCCTCCTTTACAAATTCTCTCAGAAATCATTTATAGTCCCTGGCCAGGAGGTCCCCTTGACCAAAACAGTTTAAATTTCTAGTTGCCTTGCCCATTCAAATACCTTGCTGCTTGTTTTTTCTTCTCAATTTTATAGTGCCTTTTGCATTATAATTCACTCGAATCTCTCTTTTACCGAATCTGCATTTTTAATGCCCATTTGTGCTTTTAAAGTTTTAACTGCTGGTATAGTCTATAATTTTCTTATACTGTAAGCCATGTTTTAATAATGTCCATTTTGTAATGTCTTTTGTATTGTCTCTTCTTAAATTGTGGCATCAGGAGATTAACTCGATAGTAATTTAGTTACTTTTTAAAATCCATCAGGGGTGCTACTTTTTTTTTTCTCTTTTCTTGTTCTCTCTCCTAACTGTATGTGCATGTTTTTGTTTTCTTTACTGTTCTTATTGTCTGTACTTGAATTTTTACCTGTGAA